TAGTTTTATGTTGATATGAAGCTTTCCATTGAGTATATTTCAAGCTATAATTTAATAAACTAGACTTCACTGTAGGTGGCAACATCTTGTGTTACTGCTGGAGTTTTAATCGCGAATATGCTGTCGGAAACAGTCGATTTTATCTCAGAAGTACTGCAAGGTAAACTAATTACGTCTGGTCCTAGTTTTCCATTTTGGGTTTGCAGAGTGTTGACTCTACTTTACGGAATTCTTAATTCTGGATTTGTGATCTTTTGAAAAAGTAATAAGCAATTTTGGTTAACAAATATGAGTTTATCATATTGATTAAAGCATTCTCAAGACGTTTTTTTGTAATACACAGTGAGGGCTCGTACTTGACAAATTAGGATGAACAGAGTGACTATTTGCATGTATATTTTCATCTAGTGCTTCATCTGACACTTTGAATTTCTGCGAGCAGATTTTTCCTTCTTGGAAGGTTTATTCAGTACTTTACCATTTGCTTCGGATGACTTAGAAGCAAGAAGAGCTCATTGGAATGTTATTGCGAGGGTACTGGCCAGAGTTAACGAGTCTGAAATAAGCACAGTCTGTCTAAATCAGTACATACTGGTTTTGTTGAGCAAAGCAGATATTATAGAAGATGATCTTCTCGATATCCAACTAGAAGAGTCAAACGAGGAGTCTCAAAACTCATTCCCACCTCAGATAAAGTCAAGCGCGCGAACAATTGCTGTATCCATTTTTATGTTCCTCTGTTTTTGTTTCTCCTTTCCAGATTTTAGAAATTTGTTCTGTAGCGATATTTTGTTGACCTTTAGCAACAACAGATACAGAAGATTGAGTCGATATTGAACAGTTGGAATGTTCGCAAGGAGAACTTACAGGAAGAGAGCATGAATGAGGAGTGCTCTGTAAACAAAGCTGATGTCGAAAGGCTATCAGATTGCTGTCACAGATATATCAAGTAAGCTGTTCTCCATCTCTAGTATAAAAGTTTGACTTGTTTGCATTACATTACTTTTTCAAGGGATCCAGAGAGGCTAAAACTCAAAAACCTTTCATGTTACAATCTGTCGTACAGCTCCATTGACTTTGATTCTTGCTTCAAGTTTCTTTCAACTGTCAGAATATTCAGACTGACTGACTCGTAATTTCATTCTTTCTCAATTGTAGATCGATTGCAGGATCATAATTCACGGAAATCATTCGCTCGACAGTTTCAATCACGCATTGACACACACGAAGTCACAAGGTTCAAGAAATCGCCGAACCAGTTGACATTTTAAACAGACAGATATTCAGGTTAGAACTTGCCTGTCTTTCTCATATCAATAGGCATAGATTACGTAGGACACAGTCTGATAAAATGTACGCAAGAGTAACAAATATGTGAAAAACTACTCAATTTTTCAGAACTAGAAATTTGGCAGAGTATCTTTCGACATAAATCTCGATTCAGTCTTGAAATTCAAATGGGGATAATAGCAAAAGTACATTCTGGAACTTACAATCTAAAGCCATAGTTAAAAGCAACAATGGATCATTAGGAGATGAGAGAGATGCCGGCGAGCAAGAGATTGTCTGAGAGAATCTTGTTAGCAGCTTGTGTTGGATGAAATCCGTCCCAAAAGACATACTCAGTTGCATTAGTACATGTTCCTACTGATTTAGGGTTACACAGTATTGATGTCTCTAGTAATCCTGTTCCACAACAAGCTCTTCTTGCCTCTGCAAATCCTGAAAAATTACAGAAACACAAATCTTAATCCTGTTTAATGCTTCTTCAACACATTTTGTAAAATTTCGGAATGTATATATACCAAATTCGGATGGTCTAGTGGCGAGATGATAGAGAGGCTGATAGATATCAAAGACGACCAAATTGAGTCCAGCGAGGTTTCTCTTGAGACCTTGCGATGTCGTATTGAGTTTATTGTTGAAGGAGATTGCATCGTTGTTAAGCTTCTCCGAGCATCCGCCTTCGTGAGGTCCTGCCACAGTTATGGCCGCGGGTAAACATCCTAGCGGCGGAAGCGTCGTTACTCCGATCCTTCTTGCTCCTAACGAATACAAATTCTATGGATTTCCCAAAAAATACAAAATATCAACAATTCAATAGCCAAATAATAAGTGTCAGTACATCTCAAACTAAAATTAAGAAGATAATGATAGAACCTGAATGAAATTGGAGTAAGAGAGGATAAGTTGATCGGAGAAATCATCAGGTGATTGGACTTTGTAGAGGAGAGGGTTAATATAGTAATTTTGGATAAAGTCACTGCTCCCTGCACTGACGATATAAATCCCATCGGAGATTATGGAAGTGACGTCAATAGTATTGTTTGAGATTGACATTTCTTGGATTCTGTTAGTGTAGTCTTTGTAATGTTCCAGTTGTTGCGGCAACGATATTGCACTCTTCAATACACAAAAACAAAAAAAAAACAATCAGTAAAAATTAGGAAGCTGTGTTTCAATTTTGAAATTTAATATGTTGTTATTAGAAAATGTGAAAAAATTTGGTACGAACGTAGAGTTTGGCTGTGCCATCGTAATAACCAGAAGCTGCAGAAGCAAAGTTTGCTCCAATCAAAAGGTTTTTGCCTTTTGCTTTCTTGCTTAGATAGGCTTGTGGGTATGATGTGAATCCAAGATTCTCAGCTGCACATACACACAA